ATCTGCCAGTACAACAGAGACAATGAGAGCTCTGCTGCCTCTGCTCATTTTCACTTCCATAGCTGAAGTACAACTTCAGTGTCTCCATTACAGATTCCAAACCTCCTTCTCCCACAGCTGTCTTACATGAAAGTTTTTTTAATGACTTTGCAGTTGAAGTGCTGTTTTGGTTTCAGATTATTCCCACTAGACTGAATTTGCATGTATTTGTTACTGCACTGCCCTACAAGAAGACATGCTAGAATACCACCTTTTTCTTCACCACCAGATGTTCTTATCAGGTGTTAGATGAATTCATCCTTTAAGGTTACTCTGTAATACATGTTATTTTTTAAAACTAAGCTTTGGCTGGACTGAAGAAAATCAGTCACTGGTTTCTGATAGCTAACTTAGGAAGATGGGAATTCATGAATAGATTTATCTTCAGACATTACTACAGAGATAGCTGCTTTCTTCATTAAAACACAGAACCACACACACAGATCCTCTACACATATGCAGCTAATAGCCACTGCCTATGAGAAAACATTTCAAAATATCATACGCCAAATGATCCCAGCCCCAAACAATAGGCAAACTTTGACAACCCAGCTGTTAAATTCCCTACTTCCACACAGCAGTAGATACTGAAAGGTGCCCATCACAGCAACACGACTGCAGTAACCATCTGCTTGTGCAGTTTACTCATGTGGCTGCTCCAAAGCTAGTGCAAGCAGTAGGTGCACAAGCAGTCATGCTCTAACAGATGGAGTGCTCAGCCCCTAAACCATTAGGTGCATTGGATGATCATGTGAATACTCGCCTACAGTCAGATGGAAAAATTGAGCTGCTAGGCAGACAGGAGTCTGATGGACAAGCCCATATTACAAGTCCATAGAACTAACTTGAATTCTTTCCCAAAAAAAGGCAATGAAGAACCTTTTCCTCATGAACTCAGAGGACGTTAGATTGGGCTACAAGGACATGGTGCTAGATCTCCTTAGCTACAATGGACATTTCTCACTGAAGAAATACACTGCTTTGTTTGTAAGACAGAAAACTGGAACAAAAGAAAATGATGGATTTTATTGATTCTGCTGCTTCAAAGGATGACCTGAGGGGCTCATTTGAATTCTCTGTACATGACCTTCAGACTTGTACCATTTGTGCTCCATTAGTTCCTTTGTACAGCATTCTGCCATCTGGTGAGAAAAACTGTTATCAAGAAATTAGGTATCATCATTAAAAATACATTTACATATTGCTGAGAAAATTTCTTTCCAGGAATGCCATGTAGTCTAAAGGAAGAACATTGTGAGTAAGTAGTAAAGCTGCATCACAGCTGCACTTTGTGGTAGGAGACATTCTCTGTAGGTAATGACCAATATAACACTGAGTTTGGAGAATGCCTCCATGCCAGGTCAGTGCTCAGGTGAGGCAAGGTTAGGTTGTATTGCAGTTCATTAAAAAGGCAATAAAAAGCTTAAGAGTTATCATGGATCCTAACCATATGAACCTAGTAATCAGTATGATAGACTATCATTTACATGAATAGGAAATTGAATGGACTTTTCATTTCCTATGCCTTTGTTGCTCCCTTTCAATTGCACTGATGGTGCTATTCGGAGAAGCCCAGCATGGTGTCTGTTTACAAGAGAACTTTGCAAAACAAAGACAGTCATGGTCAAAACTTTGTTGGTGAATTCAGTTTATTTACATGGAAGACCTCAGAAGAAAAAAAAACACAACAAAGTATTCTGAAATATCCTCATGGCATGGTTTTGATGGAAGTGGTGAGTTAGCAGAGGATGATCTCACAGCTATCTACGTTTGTGGAGGCCACATTAAAAGCATCTGGTTTTCAGAGAGGCCTGATCAAACTTCCCTCATCCGGGCAAAAACACCATTGCAAATTTTCCTTTGCAAAATGGTCTACGATGAAGTGTTCTGCACACAGGGAACAGTATTGCCCATGTTTCACTGCAGAGAAATCAGGCGCAAGCACTCTCCTTCCAGTTGGAGTTCAGGATGTGCCATGCCAGCATCTGACTGCATTTCAGATGTGTGCATCACATAACAGCTGAGCAGCTCTCTGGTTTTCTTTTCTTTTCTTTTTTTAAGCCAAAAGAATGGAATTGTTCTGAATACACCGTGAAGAAACCAAAAGAATAATTGGGACCAATGTTTTTAAGGAGTCCTTGCTATGCCATAACTTCTCCTGGTTCAGTTGCTAAATTACACTATAAAAATAAGTAAGTGCAATTGAGAGGCTGTGTTAATCTCAGAAGTTTAAACATCACCCCGTAATGACTGCTTTATAGTGGCCCACAGTAAACTACTTTATGGGCCATGCAGGAGATTTATCCACACGCGTACGCTAAATACTGCTGGGAATTTTCTCACATAGAGAAATGAGGATGACACAAAACCAAATGCATACAAAACATGCAGTCATTCACACTGCAGCAGGAATACCACCCAGTAGGAAAGGACATTTACGACACCGAAGAGAGATAAGAGCCGATAGCCAGCAGTGAGACGTTGCTTTTGGAAGTGCAGAATTTCCTACCCTGATAATCAGTGCAGATTCTAGAAACATAACAAATAACAACCGCCTCTTTGCAAGGAAATGAGAGCTTAGGCACTGACTATAAATAAGTTACAAAGAAAAAAGGAGTGGTTTGCAGAGTTGCTTATCAAAATCAAGAGACGTTAGAGCCAAATTAGGATCTCACACATAAAAGTTCCCTGGGCTTAAGGGTGAGTATATTTGTGATTTCTTGCCCAGGCATTTGGGGACTGCACTCAATTGCCTTTAAAATTTCTCCCTAGTAATACAGGAGATCCATCCTGTCTGACTCAGAGATCCCAGATCAAAAGTCTTTTAAAAAAAGTTGGTAGCACAGTCTTATTTAATTTTAATTTTATTTTTAAAGTAACCTGATTTCAAAACAGTACTGCAGCTAGACAAGAGTGAGTTAACCTGAAATCCATCACTACCTGAAGAGTCAGCCTGATTTTCTCAGGGAAAAAATGCATTACCATACAAGACAACTGTAAGTACACCAGGCACTACATGAAGTCCTTTATGTGAGTGCATCACCTCCCTCAGCCATAAAGCACTCACAAGCAGTAAAGCAAAGATGATTCTTAATCTCTCTGTGCTATCATTAATGAAGTATCATTCACCCACTTGTCTGCAAGCTGCTGTCCTCTCCCGCAGGCCGCTTCATCTTACAACAATGCCTCCTTTCTGGCTCGGAAGACCAACAACTGGCTCTCCCCTGAGCTTCTGGCAGATCTCCGTGGTCACCTGGCAGGAGGCAGCATAACAAGAATTTATTTGACAGGCATCCTCCCAAGGAGGCTCAGCGTATCAGTCATGCTGCTGACACCCTCGCTACCCAGAGGAGTTTGTCTGGATGACAGAAATTTTCTGGCTATGGGCAGCTGCTCTACCAGCAGCCATCCAAAAGATACCAGGATTTTCCATTTCACAGAAGGGTATTTCCTCCACATCTTTTGCAGAGGGTGACTGTTGCTGGTTAAGGACAAAAAGGACCAACATTGACTGCCCACAATTGCATGAACTGTCTTGATCTGAGTTAAGCTCTGGCTTAACAAATTAATACAAATTACGGCCTTAAGTAGAATCTGCTGTCCTAATATGGCACTGAAAAGAACTGCAAGTTTGAGTCATTTCTTCCCTTCATACAGTGCCATGGGAGAAACACCTGTCACTTTATCACCAATCTATGAATTTTGCTTAGATCGCTGGTGTTTGAAGAATAGTCAACATAAAAACTTCAGTGAAAGAAAAGAAAACTTGTTCATAAGTAAGGAAGATGAGGATTTGCAAGTCTCCATGTAACACTTCTCTGCCTCAAATTGTTGAATGAAAGCTCCAAGTGCCAAGCAGCAACTCATGTCTGAAGCTTGGCATGCTGGAATGCTCAGACTTACATAGACAAAGTGGAACTGTCCTTGACTGAGCCTTATGCCATGTTTAAAGTATATTCAGGTTTCCTGGCAGTATAACTGGTCTATTCTTACAGTTAAAAAACCCCTTTTGAAACAAGAAGTCTGAACAATCACACACTTCACAGTAGCCTAGTAGCTGTACAGGTTCATGAATAACTTCCAAGGCAGGTAGCAATGAGCACATAATAAGCAAAGCTCCAAGAGAAAGTCTTATTAAAAAAAAACAAACAAAAAACAACAAAAAAACAAACAAACAAACAAACAAAAAAAACACCAAAAAACAGAATTATGGGAAGAGACTGAGCTACTGGTTTTATGGACATAGCTCTATTCCAGCACTCTAGCAGTACAGCCAAAATGAACTCCCTCAAAATTAAAATACCCGATAGAACCCAATAGGCAAGGTAACTACTTGGACTCAACAGAGGTCACTAATTACCAGAGAGCTTGCCTAGCAGACATCAGATGATAAGGCATCTTCAACTCATGTGTTTTTTTCCCCCCAAAACTACGCTTCCTCTGACGTGGAATCACAATGCCGGCCAAGCCTGTAACGCTGTGCCAGGCAGAAACCTAAAGCTCAACTGAAACGTGAGCAGCACTTCCTCAAACAGCCTCTCCTACGGTGTGACAGCTCCCCCAGGGGACCAGGCCGTCATCCTGCCTGTCCTCTGGGCAGGACTGTCCTGCCCACGTCCCACTCACTGATACAACTTCCTCCACATCTCAGCTGTGAGGTTTAGTTTACCAGGTCAGTATTTGTCCCTGGTGTACAGAGACAATGAACGGAATACTAGAGAACAAAACAGATACACACCTGAATGACTGATACATTATACTGCATGGTTATGAAAGTAACATTTGCAACTCCAGCTAGTTTTGCCTTTTTTCCTACACATCCAGTGTACCATAGGACCCAGACACTCACTGCAGCATCTACAAACCTTCTATAGGTATGACGTAACAGAGGTCTATTGCAAAAGACAAGCAGAGCTCCAACAGTGCCATAAAGGAGATATTTATTATCAAACTGTGACACATCTAAGAAAGGAAGCAAACACCTCAGTAACTGACAAAAGCGAAGGAGAACGCACTGTGAATACATTGGATTTTAGCTTCTGGCATGTTCAATACAGAAATGCTTTGGTTTGGCTAACAGGAAACCACAAAGCACAACTGTCCTATAATTGCAGCAATCAGACACGTGCAGGGAACAATAATTACAGGCAAGAGAAATTAGTTATAAAGAGATCTGTTTGCTGTATTTCTAATGACCGTGTTGTTTTTTCTTCGTATCTGAGTGTTAGGCTGTTGTGTTTTTCGTTTCGTTTTTGTAGAGGTTGGTTATCTGAAATGGCAAGTATGGATCAATTCTCTTAGAAGATACAAATGATCAGCTTAGAAAAAGTTTAATATTACAGATAAATGGCTCAAATTGCTGCTAATTACTCAAGTTTGAGAAGCTATGTTTGCCATAAAACAAACTCTGACTTTGTGTTAGTACGAGTTAAATCTACTCAAGTTTCAGAACTGTGAGCCAATGCTTTCTCCACACAACCCAGGAAAACCGTAAGATACAAAGTTTGAAGTTAACAGTGCAAATACAGCTTTGAAGAAAACAAAAAAGCCTCCTGCCTTCTCCCAACCAGTCCAATTAGAAATAGAGCACAGGATTAACCAATGCTTGTTGAACAGCATAGCTCCTAACCCATCCCCTTGAAACTGTCAAATAAAACATGGTAAATTTCAAATGTAAACTACAATACAAGGAAAACAACAGAAATCAGCATAGCTTTTAAGAGCAGATGAGCACAGAAAAACAATCCTATTATGAGCTGTTGCGTTTAAGCACCTTTCTTTAAACAAATATTGGAAATAACATCAGCATTAGTCCCTAAAACACCCTCTTGTGACTTCTAATAGAAATTAGAGACTGATTTATAGCCACTGTGCCTTTTGTCACGGAGATGGAAAACGTACATTCAAGGCACCCTTAATTCAGATTCCAAATTATTTTGTCAAAATACATCTATCTCAAGTCACCACTTTAGGAGTTGCCATAGTTCAGTGATGCAATCAACAACCATATTTCTCAGGTTGGTAATATGGCCTCAGTTGTTTTCTAACTTACATTCAGGTACCTCCTCTCAGAAGCAATTTGTGTCTCCTAAAAAAGTACTGGAAACATGTCTGCTTAACAAAGTATAGAACAGCTGAAGGTCATTTGGGAATCTGCGATTGTCTTAATGATTTTATTTTCCCCAGACAGCCAAACCAAGATAATTAGAGAAAATAGCAGCTCAGGTAACACCTGAAGATAATTTCACCCTTCTCTAATCACCTGACACAGTAGATTTATTACGTTAGTCCACATTCTCAAAGTCAATAGAAAAGTTACTACAGCTTTTAAATTCTGGTTAAGAGTAAGGATTCCATAAAGACACGAGAGTAGTTATGACAGTAACATTTACTTCAAATAATATTAATTGCCCAGAGATACAATGAAAATGATGACATCTGTCTGTAACTTGGAATACTTGAGATGATTTCCACTGAGATCTCACTCCTGGTGTTCTTCTTCAGCGATGTAATGTTGTAACCTAGGTTTGTTAGGGCTGTGTTCCATCAGCCAGTCAGCGAGCCACGTCTGTGTAACAACAACAGAAAATTCAACACCTTCTGTGGGTTTTTTTATTTGTTTGTTTTCTCTATGAAGTGTAAGAAAAGCAATTTAAAGCATTATTTGAAGCCTCTGACACACAGTCCTACAGTGCTGTAAAATGAAGTCCTTACAGGAAAAAAAGAAAAAAAAAAAAAGCCTGATTTTTTCTAGATGTTCTTTTGAATCTTCACCACTTATATTGCTTTCAAATAACTCACACCCTTTGGCTGAGACAACCTCAGTGCTGCTAGAAACTGTTTCTGAGTGGACTGACATTGGTTTTTTATTTCTGAAGATTTCATGAGGAACAAACAAGAGATTAAAGTTAGCCTAAATTCAGTTCATGGGAGAAAAACACCTAAATATGTGAACAGAGTATAGAAAAAAAATGCTCCATCAATTTCCTTGTAAATCACCTGGTAGAATCAAGCTGAAGAGCAATAGCCAACGTATATTTCTCAAGTACAGCAATATCAAATCAAGCTTATTTTCCTTTTGTGACAAGGTCACAGACATTAAGAACGTGGAAGAAAGAATTAATACATTTTATTGGCATATAACTTTCTCACAGGAAGGACAAGGAAAATGGTCTGGTGAAGTTATTAGTTCTATCTGGCCAAAACAATGACTTAACTGGCCAAAACAAATGTGTTCAGAACGCAGAGATAATTGAAAACAAAGAAACAAAATGATTTAAGGAAGTGTGGCCTACAAGTTAAGATAGAGGAAAGAAAAAATAGGTGTTTTTTAAATTACATATTATATATTATTTTATATATTTATATTAATATTATTATATTTATTTATATTATTATATATATTTATTATTTATGAAGAAAAGACTGGGGAAAAAAAAAAAAAAAAAAAAGAGAGAGAGACAAGGACAGCCTTCAAACAGGCAATAGATTGCTGCAAAAGAGAGGAGATGTTACATTGTCTCCAATGTCCTCTGGGGACACCAAAGCAAAACAAACCAAAACTAAAACGTCTTGGGTTTAAAACTGGAGCACAGGAGACTTAGGCTAACTTCTAGTGAAAGGTTTTCAACTGTATTTAGTTCAGCACTGAAACAGATCGCCTGGGGAGGCAGATTCTCCATCATTTGGAGTGCTGAAGAACAGGCCAGACAAACGTTTGCTAGGAATGGTTGTGTACAATTGGTTTGGCCTTAGGGCAAAGGGATGGATGAAGTGGCTGCTTCAGGGACACTGCATCTCAGTGTCTTAGATTTCAGTGGTCACAGTGCCAGACATACAGACAAAGTGAGCAGGCTGTAAAGCTGGAGCAGTTACAGTACATTTAATCTGACACGGGTCACAGACACACCTCAGAATGCTCTTAAGGTCTTTTTCTCTGCAGTGTCTCTTGTGGGAAAATGCAGTGTGGATTAAAAGAGTGTTAATAATGCAGAATGCACCACAACTCCCAGTAAATCATCACACTGATTAATTTTCCACATTCCTGAGTATGTATAGTGTGAATTACTTGAATTTTAAGAATACTCCAAGTTAAAAAAAAAAACAGAAACAAAAAACCTGCATTTTCCAGATGAAAGAAAGCTATTTTTATTTAGGCACCAAAGAGGAAAACCCAATAAATTAACCCTTTCCCCTCCCCCCCCCCCAGTAAGAACTACAGTTCATACGAAATCTTTTTTTCCTTGAGATCTCCTTTAAAGGAGGGCAAGACGTATCAACTTACTAAATAGAAAGGGTTAAGATGACATAATTTTCTAGAGGCCTGTTTGATTATTCAAGATGGGTTTTACTCAGAAGAATCATAATTAGTTTTCCTGGTGAGCTGTGGGGGCAGCCCATGTAACTGTTATCAGTGCCATAGTCAAGATAATTGCTCATCCTGAAGAAAGATTAGGTTGGTATTATTAAATTAACCATAGTGATGAAGTAAAGGCAGCCTTGCTAAGAACTCTACAGTGTTTTACTCAAGCATGTAACTACTACCAGATTGATTAGCATCGAAGTAAGCTTACCTAGAATCTATGATGAGAGCTATTTCATCTCAAACTTACCTCAGAAATATTAAAGTAAAAACTTTCTCTTGGCATTATATAATAGCACCTATTTGCTTTTCCAGACATGTGTAACAACTGTGTTGGCAACAGTTTTATCGATGTCACCTAAAATGACTGTTTCATAAAAGAGGATTTCATACAGCCTTGGCCCTCGTCTCATCCGTTAACAAACAAATCAACTTCTTGAAAGGCAAATGCTACCTGACTTCCTCATTAGCAGTTAACTGAAACAGCACAGCTCTTCTGCAAAAGAGAAGCTTATATATATACAGAGAGCACGAATATCAGTGTAAAACAAACATATCACAAAGCATACAACACAGTGCTGATATACCATACCATTGGATCTGCTGGCTTCTCTTTACAAAGTGCAGTGAGCCCAGCTAGTAACGTAGGTTTTATGTGAAGATTCAAGTAATCTCTAGCTCTTTGTCCAGCTGGAACTGGCTCCGAGATCACTGTGAAGAGCAACCACAGGCATTGGAAAGCAACTTCAAGAGTGATCAAAGAAGGCCTTCTTTCATAGGTTGTTTATAGTAACATTAAGGTAAATGGAAGCTCATCTAAGTTAATGGTGTATAATAGTTTACGAAGATTTTCACACAACAAACTGCAAAGAAACCATTTAAATCCCTTTACAATGTCACTGAGGAAATCTTTCTAATTATAGCCAGTTAGGAGAGGGGAGAAACTCAGACTATCTGGAGTAACATCTATATGTGTGAAGATTCATTAGGAGGTAGGAGAGCAAGAATATATTCCATAGTTTATGGAATCCATTACTTCCTTCTTGCAGTGTGGCTCTGGTTTCTGAAAACACCAAAAAAAATTTCATGTTAAGTCTAGCTTTGCTAGCAAATATGAAGACTCATGGTTTAGACAAGGTAAGGTAGGAAATATAACAAGCTTTTCTAGTCAGTTCCCCTTGCATCTTTCTGTCAAAGACTAAAATCATAATTGAAATGTTACTTTATAAACAAGAGACCATTTCCCAGTCTTTCCAGGTACTATGGTCCATTTCTCTAGCATTTACCTTAGGAAAAGCACCTGTCATGTGAGTGAACAGTTGCTGTTGAACAGACACTGCTCAGCCTGAGCCCAAGCGGGATCTTCTCAAGCCAACAGGAGTTCCTGGTCTGATCACCGCCAGGAGAACATGCTAGAGTATAATAGCTTCCAGTTTTATTTGCAGTTTTATCTGCTCCAGTTCCCAAACCATGGAGTTTGAAAAGTAGAAGCACTCACTGTAACTATAATGGCTCTTCAAATAGATATTGGTATGCTTTTTGCAGGAGAAAATACCAACATAAATAAATACACATTTGCACAAAGCAAACAAGCTGAACCCTTCTAAATTAAACTATATCTAGAGTCTGAACAGAGGCAATAAGAGAGAAGGATGCTATGCTCCCAAAGGCTGGCAACACATATATTTTTTGCATCATTTTACCTCCTGGAAACATGAATCGAATTTCTCTTTCTGCTGAGAATATGCTGAGACTGCCATGAAGTCCATTCCTCAGATCATCAGTCCCATAGATCGCCCTTAAACTTATAGCAAGAGAAAGAACTGCTGAGTGGGCAACTGCAAATACCTTTGAAGTCCCTACAGTATAAAAGCAATACACATAAGCTATATAACAAGGCTGTGGTGTGATTTGTTTTGTTTTCAAACAAATTAAGTAGCAGATTAAAATTTGTGTTCACACATTCAGCGTTCTCTGTAAAAAGGGTGAATTTTACACATGCAAAGGTGAAAACTTATGTTACAAACAAACTAAAGAGATAACACTAAAAATCCTTACCTCATTTGAAAGAGGGAGAACAGTAGAAGGCAGAAGAAATTCTGATCTCATTAAAGAGAATGACAAAATCCTACTGAGTCCACCAAAATAATCCAGTGAGTTACCTGTGAGGGTGAGTCATCCTAGCTTTTATGCTGTTTGATGGTCCAAGCAATTCCTTCCAGTATGAGACTGCACGATGTCTGGCAAGAACCATAGCAACTGAAGGTCCAGAGCTCATATAGGCTGCTAAATTAGGAAAAAACATTTTTCCATACTGGTCTGCATAAAAGATGCTGCATTGCTCTGGGCTTAACTGGAGCTTCCGTTTCTGGGGAAAGTGTAAAACAGAAGAGAATGAAAAAAGCATGAAAAAAGCTTACTATTGAGCTAGTTTGCTACCTCAGGTACCACACTGTTCTTTGGGGCAGTCACATTGTCAAGTGCAAGCTGAAGAGGTACAGAGTAACTTCCCAACTTAATCTGATTCTCTCAGATTTGGTCCTCCTCAAGATACAAAGCAACAAAAACCAAGAGGTTGCTATGTGAATTACATAGACAAATGCACTACTCGAGGAAAATGAAATCTTGGTGTACACAAATTGCAGTGTTTTAAAACCACTGGGTGACACAAAGTACAGTCAGGGCATAGCATACAAAACCCGAAAAGCATTACAAGAGCAGTGTTGAATTATTCATCTGTTGCAGAAGAGCATTCCACTTTTACAAAAGTTTCAGCCCACAGCACTAATTATTCAATTGTTCGTTCTTTCATTCAGTGCTTCAGGACTTTCACAATAACTATCCAGCCAGCAGGTAGCCAGAATTAGGACCAGTGTAACAGGTTATCCACCCGTTACAGGTTATCCACCAGAGGGCATGGGGCAGCATGAAGAGAAATAAACTTATTAAAAAGTGCTTTCTTTGAGCCTGCTCTAATGTGATACAAAGTACTAAACGTTCAGATTCCTATCAACCTCAATGTCAAAAGCTAATGACTGTAAAGTTCTTCTCATTAAAACAAAACAAAACAACCCTCTAATCTTCTGATGAATTACCTGTAAATAAAACAACCAGAAACGAAGGGGAAGAAATTAAAAAAGAACAAGTTTGAAAAGAGGCATTTACAAAAGTAAAAGATTACCGTTTTGGGAAAATATATACATATAATACTTGTATCTAGAAGCCTGACTGCTGCTCACCCAGTGCCCTCAAAGTCCAGTGCCGTGGCCAAGGCGCTGTCGGCGGAGGAGGAGGGGGAGCAGGAGGAAGAGAAGGCAGAACACGATGAGGACGACAGCGGCACCCAGCGACCGCCCCAGCCCCGCTAGGTAACATGGAAGAGGGTCGGGTTTTTTCGGTTTTTTTCGGGTTTTTTCGTTTTTTTTTTCGTTTTTATTTTTCCCCCCCCGCTTGTGATCGTTTCTAAAGGAAGTTAAAAAGAGCAAAGACTTCCTGCCAAGGTAGTATTACTGGCTCCTGCTGAAGATAGCCCTTACTTCATATCTCTTACCTCAAAATAACCTGGCGATTCTGAATTATTTTAACAGATTTTTTTTTTTCTTCCATCTGTTCTTAGAGAATGTACAAAGAGCTGCCTGAATGAGGGCCTAGAGTATGCATGTCCTTGCTATCTAAAGGCAAATCTTTATCTTAACCCAGTCTCCACCAAGAATCACGGCCTGGAAGCTTTCCAAGTGACAGAGGGGGTTGCACCAGTGCTCTGCGCAGCATCCCCACAATCACGTTGTTAGGTCCAAAACCATAACGGACAAACTCAGTCAGACCTATTTAAGTAGAACATTTGTAATGCTTTTAAAGCCCTTTTAGGATAAAAACACTGGGAACAAGAAAAAGCACTTCGGTCCACAACCTGCCATTTAAATCTGGAAGCATCTACTTGGCAAATGGGTATTATGACACATTGATATTAGAAGGAGATCTCTCTAAAGAGTTACTTTGGAGCACCCACCCATCTGCTGCATATGTTACATAGACGAACTACTAAACCCGGTTTATTAAGGAAGTACAGGATCTCTTCTGGCCAGCAAAATCATTTGTGTGCTCTCTTCCATGTCACGCACCAACAAAACGTATCCTCAAAGAATCTGGGAGTTGTGTCCGATGACATGAAAAATATAAACGATTTTTTTTTACAACAAAAGCTTTTAATTATTGAACTGACTGGTGACAGTTAAGACTATTGATGTGACTCATAAACTGCAGCTGTTATCTCAGGAACACAGCCTTTTACCTGAATGATCATGAATCCAGATCTGAGGATGAGATCCTCTATCTCTTCCTCCTTAGCTACAACATCAGGTTTGATGAGAGCCAGTGTTTTTTCCACAAAAATCTGAGGTTCGGGCATTAGCATCTGCATCTTTGCTTCTAGATTAGAAGCCGGGTGCTTCTTTGTCCTGCAATGACATCAGTTAATGACATTTGGGGTTTGCCTACCACGCAGTCACCTGCAGCCACACTCAGTGCACACCCAGGAAGGAAGCAGGACGTCCTCATTTCAGACCTGGACTAGTTAGCATCCCGTAATTCACGCTCCCATCTTCAGTAAAGGAATGTTTTGTAGAAAACAAGCCAAAATTAAGCATTGTTAGCCAATCGTGAATTATAAACTCTTCTTAAACATCTCTAACTCAGACCATGCACGAGCAGAAGCACGGCTATGCACAGAGATCAGCGAGATATGAGGCTCCAACATTTCTCCCCGAGCAGTGGAAGCAGTGTGGTTTCTTGCAGAACTGTGCCCTTCTCCCCCGTGCCCGTGGGTCTTCGAGGAGACAAGGCTGAAAACCCACGAACCCACGCGGAAAGCCTGCAGCTACCGACCTGGAACCACAGCTCCCAGTCACGGCCTCCAGAGGTCCCGCCGCGCGCGCCAAGCCGCCATGCCGCGCAGCTCCCCGTTGCTAAGCGACGGCGGGGCCGGGCGGGCAGCGGGCTCAGCGGCCACAAGATGGCCTCCGCGGCCCTCGCGGCGGGCGGCTGCGTGCGTGTGTGGGGGGGGAGGAGAAATGGCGGCCCGGGAGCGGCGCGCCCTGGGCTCGCCTCACAGCCCGCGGCAACCGCGCTTTCCGGACCTCGTTTGCCCCTTTCTGAGCGTCTGGTGTGATAAGAAAATAAAAAAGGGAGTAAATCGGTTTGGGCAGAAGGTTTTGGGGGGTCTGTTGTGTTGTTAATTCTGTGACACAGCTTTCTGTCGATTTTACTCCACGCTGGAAGCACAACCTCACGGCAGACCCTCATAAGCAGAGGTCACACTGTTGGACGGGTATTTTGGAACAGAAATAAACGTCTGAGTGGAGAAGCAGGTTGTTTACACGTCGCTGTGAGGTGGCAGCACGCACAGCACTTCCTGTTTATTTCCCGTCCGATCTGCCCCGGGACGCAGCTCACAGCCGAGCAGGCGCTGACCTGAATTCCCAGCTCTAGAATACAGTTTCTCAGCACTTTGGATTGAAAGGCATTTTCTCCCCGGTGTGACTCGGTTGCCACACAGAAACAAGCAGCCTGCCGCCCCGCTGAGGCCTGCCGGCGGCTATCGGGGAGGCACAGCCCAGCAGCTGCGATAACGCCCGCACCAGCCCATGGACTGCTCACATTTGGGCCTCGTCTGCTGCCCTGTGACGTTTACCAAAAACGATGTGATCCCAGGCAGTCTGTTTGTCACATCCAGCTGGAATGGCCCGCACATTCGAGCCCTTAGGATAAGATGGACAAAGAGACAAGTGCTCATGTATATGGGCTTCATTTCTTTTTATTGAAAACAGGTTGAAAGTTGATACAAAGGTGAAAGGGCAGAAAGCAAAACACTTAGAGAGCCATAGGTGCAATATTGCGTAGTAATGGTCAGCAGAAGAAATGAAAGTTAAGGCTTGAACAATTCAGATATAGACTGATTTTGCTAATACAGGCATACGATGTTGGCTTCTTTAACAACAGTTAACAACAGTTGATTTGAAGATATTGTAAATGCAGCAACTACTCACAGATAAGGAAAATAAGTGTTTTATGAGAAATAAATTCCTGGAAAGATTTGCGAGTTCATCTACTTTTTCTTTTAGTTCAGGGTTAATTTGGCAAGAGCTGTTCCTTGGCAAAGTAAATGCTTACAAGGCTGACAGGCTGACCCTGGGTTTAGCAGCTCAAAAACCTCCTCAGCACCAGTGAATATTTCAGATTATTACATAAGAAATATTGAATTTAATATCCTCACAAAGTACTGCTGACTTTGATCACTTGCAATTTCTTCAGTGTGTGCATTTTGCTCCCAGTTAACCAAGATAGGAAAAAAGTATCTCAATATCCGTCTGTGCATCCTTATCTGCTGAAGCTTCCCCACGAGCAGCATCCTGTGCACTTCGCTCCTTCCCCCATCCTTCTGTGTCAGAATTTCTCCTCCTTGCTGTTTCCAGAAGCATTTCTGGAGGGCGGAGATCATCTAATTTTAGCAGCTCGGAGAATCCTCTGCTCTCCAATGAGCGAGCTGCTGCATCTGAAGCGGCAGCCAATTACCCGGGGTTTCCTCCTGCTGCACTTCCCACGACCGTTTAATAATGCAGAGTTACACATTTAAAGGGGCCCCCCACACTAAGAGAAAATAACAGTGTGTCCCCTAACAAAGAAGCAGCTTTATACAGTAAGACTATCTCAGAGGTTTCTTCTAAATCCTTGGATTCCATAAACCCGACCTTTTGACCCTGTGTTGATATTGTTATTGTACGCACCTTATCTTTGTAGTGCTTGAGAAGCTATTTCTAATAACTAAAAGGCTGGTTTGAAGCATTGTCTCTAACTTCTGTAGCCCAGGGATGTTACTATGGGCTAAGAAAAGAAACAAACAAAACCTGAAATTTTAATTACAATGCAACAAACCATTACAGTTCTGAATACTCTGGGCATAGCTTGGCTGCTGTATCTGATCTGTTAAGCGGTTTAACAAGCCTTGCTTGTCTTATTTTTAGCTGGCATGTAATATAATAACATTAAGATGATGGTTGCAGATGCATTTGCATTCTAGTAACAAATAAGTAACTTCTTAAAGAAAAAATACTGTTTTAGAACTTTGAACTCCAATATTGCAAGAAGATGGACAAAATATTTACTGGGAGATTGTTCATTAAAAAAAGAAAGGAGGAGGAAAAACAGAATGATGTAAAATTGCACGGGATAATGCAAAATAATAAAGAAAAGTTAGAGAGTAATACCGGCTAGTTTCACTGATTAAAAATGAAACTTACACATTTTAGCTTTACATGCATTTTAATGTCAAGCATGAAAAAAAAAAAAAGTAGTAATAATTTCCTGGTTATTCATTTGCCACACAAACAACTGTCCACCACTGACACCATTTTTTTCGTTTCTGTCTCCCACGATAAAGGCTGGGATACCTACATGCAGTACCAGCTTACCTCCATAACCTGCTTCATCCGTGCTTGCTCTTGCAGTGCAAAGAGTCTTTGACGGAAATCCTGTGAGCAAGCTGACTTCCGCTCCTGCAAGCCCGCTCCCTCCTCCATTTCTTACAGCTAAACAATTCTGCTGCAGCTTGCCTACATGCCTGTAATCCTAGCTAACTTTTTATTGCTTTTGACTAACCCAATTCAAGCCTTCATTTCTGCTTGCATGTACTTGCTATGTCACAATTTTCTTTACATATGTTATTATTTCTACAAGACTCTAAGTAATAACAAACTTCTCATGTACACATCCTCTGTAACTCTATCAATTGCTCTACTGTCCCTCTTCCATTTTATTTCCTGATCACCCTCATGCCCCCTCTTTCATATGTTCACAGCTTTTATCATACACTCTGCTCTGACCCCCAGCATCCACACAGATGCACTTCAACCTCTTGTACATCAATCAACTAATTCAATATAATCCTTCCGTAGAAGCACCTCTTCTCATCTCATGTTTTTAAGTCTTCCAACCACCCCGCCTATCTGGTTGCAGACAGGAGATGTGGTTGGAATTCACTTCAAACACAGTTTTGCTTCCTCTACTCATCTAAAAGCTTCTCAACACATCTTAAACCAAACTCTTTTGTCTCCAGTCACTTTTAGCATAGCTAGCTTCCCTCTTACCTTAGCTTTTGCAATTATTCTCACATATTGCTTTTTCCCCAGCCTGGCACAGCAATAGCTTCCCTTGTGTTTCTTTCCCGTGTCTGCAAGAACACCAGTGAACTCTGCTATAATTTCTCTCCTCCCTTCCCTTCTAGCTCATAGCTCATTGTGCTAATTGACAAATACAGATATGATTGCCTCGTATTACTGTCTCCTTTCAAACTTAAGGTGTTCCCATTGCAATTTACTGTCGTGTAATGAGCATGTGCTAGATAAATGATCTGGCTGAAAACCAACCACTTTTCAGCTGAGTTATTTTACAACTAACTGTGCAAAGGAGTAGGTGGAACTTCACAGCCAGGAATGTGAGTTTTAGATTCAGATTAGTCCAAACTGCTGTGACTTCTGTGAGTCACTGATGTGGCTGGGTATCTTGCACAAGCCCTCCTCATCTCAGTTACTGCTGATATCTTTTTCTCTGATCACAACATATAAATCATTCTCTTCCACTCAGATTTTTTTTTTTTTGCGAGGGTATTTCATTTTGTAGACCATCTTTTTATGTCAATTCTCTATGTCTTTCCACATCAAGTATTTTCTGCTCCACACAAAACATTTGGTTTTCAGTTGTAAGCCCATGCACATATTGATCAAGTTCTATTTACCTTTTGTTCCACAAACAATAGCTCCTACAATGTAAGTCATCTAAAGCAATTGAATTCTACTAAGCCACTTTAAAGTAAAGACTCTCCTGCTCAATTCCATGATTTTGCTTAGGATGCATTCATGATGAGTGCCTGTCGAGGCTAGCATAGGCTTCCTGTTCTCTATAAAGCTCCTACTCATCTGTACATGGGCATAGCATGTGGATACTGCATATAGATACTAGACACTTACCCTTTACTTCTTAAATATATATCTCTACCTTATTTCTAGCATAAAATAGAGATAGTAGTGGAAATTGCTTTTCGGAATTGCCAAGCTGAGAGACTGAAATGGGATTAACCAGAAGAAATCAACAGTTGGAAGAGATTACAGATCTGAAGAAAGCGTTGTTAAGACATCCATGCAAGAGCTACAAAAGGAAAGCAGATAATTCAGCAAAGCAAAAAAAAAAAAAAAAAAAAAAAAAAAAAAAAAAAAAAAAACAAAACAAAAAAAAAAAAAAAGAGAGAGAGAAAGGAAATGGAAACCTATGGAGAACTGCAAATCAAACAATAAATCATGCAAGTCCTTAGCAAGGCTTGATAAAATACAAAAGAGATATTCAGAGTAATGACTTTTGCAGAGAAATTAATACACTATATCATTAAAACCACCCAGATTACATCCATCATCTGAACCTAAGCTTAGACAACAGACTTTCATAAACTGCCACCCATTTTGGTCTACTCTTGCTGCTGGTCTATACACTTTTAACTTCAGAGCACACTTCTGCATTCAGCTGCCACAAATATAAAAACCTACAAGAAAGAAAGTAGTTAGTGAAGCTTAGCAGTACTTATCTTTTCATCCACCCCATTTAAGTCCAGCTGCAGACATCAGTTCAGTCTTAGCTTCCCCCTCTGTGACTTAAGCAAATGCAGGATAATTTCCAATTGAAGCAAGCTGATGGTTCTGTATAAATTAACACATACAGGTGATAGCAGCTTTAGGTACAGATTTGATTACAATCTAAGCCAAGGAAGCCTGAAAGAAGCCAACAGAAGATCTCTTGCTGGATGTGGGGTAAGTTTCCTCAAGATGATACAAATTAGGGAAAAGAATACCTTACAACAACAACAATCTTTGTTTCTAATTATACTTAAAATTTAGTATTAGAAAAAAAACTTTAAAGGCACAGTCTTGTAAAGATAAGTATCTTTACCAGAAAAGAGGTACACAACCTGTTCTACAGAATCACAATTTTCAAGCCTGCCAGTTAGATGCTCTTTCTATCATTCTTACTGGATGTGACCTCATATAACAGTTTCATAAACTTTACAATGAAGAGATGGTTGTGGAGCTTGTCCACAGTTGCTCATTTAGATCACCTATTTTCAGATTGTCTTAATACTTTTCAAATTGTGAGCAGCAAAACATAAGGGAAAAAAAAATGATGGAAGCAAATAGTTATGTCCAAGGATTTAAACTTGAGAATTTGTAAAAAAAAACCTATTACAATTCCAGTAAGAAATAGGAAGCAGTTTTGCTTGCATGGGAATCAAAGCAGAATGCTCAGCCTGAACCAGTTAGCATGGTTCTCATGTCAAGTACCACAAACAGCAAAGCAACACAGTGGCTTCAAATTCCTGCTTGTGGATCTTTATATGATATGATCTTTACAATACTAAGTATGATATACAGACTTTCTGTTCCTCTTAAGATGTCTGACTTACAGACATTTTTAAAACTGTTTTTAAGCTGAAAAAAAAATAAATTAGCTTCTTAATCTGAATGTGCTGCATTGACTTTATTTAGTAAACATCTTTAATGCTCTACCCACATTGTGCTGCATATAAAACCAAATATCCCACAGTGTGTTGTGATTTTAGCAAGGTGCTACTTCGATCTCACACAGGATAGAAGTTGGCCTAAAAGTGGTTTGCTGAAGAACAGCCTGGATCCTGGACTTCATAGCTCGCAGAATAAAGGTAAATAGTGCTTCATTACACCATGCGCACTTCCTGAATTGTAGCAATGGTGCAGGTAAGCCGGGCCAGAGGATATATTTGACTGAGGGTGGGACGCTCCATTACATTTACATTTATCACTGCAAAAAGTTAAACTGTTACTTTTAGCACCACCAGCAAAAGGTTTCATGCGTCTGAATTGTTTTAAAGAGGCGGTAGCAATCTTTGGCTCTCCATCTGAAAGCTGAGCTCCTTGCCTTTGCTGCAGACAAATGAGATATTAGGGATGGTACATTGCACAAGAATTTAAAGCACAAACACAAGGAGCGTTGTCTCCTGCCCTCCTCACGCGGGCATTGCCAGCAGAGCCGGTACATCCTTGGGCAAAAAGAGCGCCGGCCCGGGCCCGCTCAGGGCTCCAGCTCCGGGTTATGTAATACCGACTCCAGGTTTCCACCAAGAAAACAAACTCCGGCCTTCTCTGTTGCAAAACCAGCAGAGCTGGAAACATGTAGTAAACCTCTCTCCCTGGAGTGACTGAGTCAGCGCGCACCGCACCTTCACGGAGCGGCGCCAGGAAACGCAGCGGCGCTGCCATAACCGCGACTCACCGGGACGGGAGCGCTTTGCGGCGGACCGTTAGGAGGCTGCTGTGGGCAACAGCCATCGCCTCACGCGGGCGTTGCGCCTCTGGGGCTGGGCTTCCCGGTCTGTTATCGGGAAGCGCCTCGAGAGAATAACGCAGCTGTGAGTGAGCGCGGCAGCCACCCACACGCCCGCTTCTCCACGGGCGCACGGAGCCGTGGACGCTGAGGTGACAGGCACGAAGCCCCCGCACGCGCTTTCCCCCACAACTCGGTCCCGCGGGCCGCCATTCGCCTCACGCCGCGCGCCCCGCCCGCCCAGAGCCGCGGAACCAATAGGGGCTCCCGAATCTTACGAGTGACAAAGAGCGACGGCCAGCCAGGAGACGTCTTGTTGCTGTGTGGCCCAGGCTCCGGCGGTATAAAGGCGGCCACGCGTTAAAGCTTCGGGCCGGAGAGTACGTGTCTCGGGGGGAGGAGGAGGAGGTGGCGGCGGGGCCGGTGCGGAGCAGCCGAGCACCGTGGGGGATTTTAATCCGATTCCGGCCGGCCCGGATTTTATCGCGAGCGGCTTTTAAAGTGAGTAGGGGCGGGCGGCGGCACGCGGGGGGAGGGGCGGCAGCGGACCGGATCAGACCGGCACAGCCCTGCGGGGGGAGCGGCCTCGCTGACCGCCGGCCCCGTTGGTCTCTTGTAGGCGCCTCACGTCCCTCTCGCCTCTGCGGACGGGGCAGCATGTCCGAAGCGGAGCAGCAGTTGGCGGCCGCCGCCGGCGCCACCCAGAACGGACACGAAGCGGCTGAGAGCTCCGGGGAGCAGCAGCAGGCCGACACCGGCGGGGCCTCGGCGGCTTCGGCGGGCGCGGCGACGGCGGCGGCGGCGGGAACGGCGGGAACGGCGGCGGCGGGAGCCGGTCCTGCGGCGGGGACGGCGGGGGTGGCCGCCAGCCAGAACGGGGCCGAAGGCGACCAGATCAACGCCAGCAAGAACGAGGAGGACGCGGGGTAAGCGGCGGGCGGAAGGCGGGAGCGGGCCGCGCCCCCCCATCCCCGCCTCGGGCGCCATGTGCGGCGGCAGAGCGCGGCCTTGGGCCCGGCGCGGCCTTCGGGCGGGCGGAGCGTCCCGTCGGGCCCGGGCCCCGCGGGGGTGG